TTGTGTGTGACACAAGGCCATCTATCCTCATCAAACGAGCCCGTCCCTGAGTCTTGCTTTAGGTGCCAGAGTCAATAACCCCCCCCCCCCCCCAACGTCGATTTCAGAGAGTGATGCGTATGCGTATCGATTGTCGTGCATTTTGGTGTCACGGGTTTAAACATCTGTGCACTCCACACACGCACACGCACGCACATACGAACGAACACGCGAAAACACAACAAAGACAAATACCCCCCCCGCCCGTATAGCCTTAACGGACTGTTGGGGCAAGTGCTGTTAGCGTGCGCTGATGGAAGGCGGCACGGCGCAACGATGGGTTGGGATGGTGGGTGGCCAGCACCACGCCCGGCCGTCTTTGTCTCTGAGTGGCGATGTTTACACAGCGCCCCAGTTACTCATTTGAGGCTGAGCCGACCTAGGGAAGGCTCGTGGCCGGTTCAGATAACCGTCTATGGTATTGTCTGTGAGCGGCAATCGAACTGGGTTCATAGCGCAGCGCGCTAACCGCTACACTACCGCTCCCCACAAACACAGACACACGCATTTGCAAAGCCACACAGAAACACGTGTACACGCGCACACACTCAAGAAAACGATACACCATATAGCCCAGACAAAGACGATTATCACCACCCCCCCCCCCCCCATAGCCTTAACAAACTTGTGGGGCAAAGGGCTGTTAGCGAGCACCTTTGAAGAGCAACGCAGCACGCGAACGGGTGGGTGGTCAGCACCACGCCGACACACACGCACACAAGACAGAGTTCCCCCCCCCCTGCATAGCCTTAACGGACTGTTGGGGCAAGTGCTGTGAGCGAGCAGCACCCATACACACACTCACGCGCACACACATTGCCTTCCCTACAAACACACGCACACAAAAACATGTGCACACTAACACACACACTCACACGCGATCCAGACCACAGCACCACACTCGGTGGGAGGTCGCTCATTCTCCTCTGCTGCCCCCAAGTCCGGAACTCCCTTCCTCCCCCAAGCCATTCGACCTCCTGATCCTATTCATGTCCCAGGCTCAATAACTTCATTTTTTTCCCCCCACCGCCTGTGATTGGCCGCCTCTCTGCAATGAATATGCCCAGATTTTGTACAGCATCTTCAGATGTGGTCGATTGTATGTCGTATATCTACGCGCAGCCCTTTTGTCATTCCACTGCTGGATGAGGCTCTTCACCCCCACCCCCCACCCATCACCCATCACCCACCCCTGTGCGGGCCGTGAGCGTTGTTTGACCATACTTCACCACACTGGTCAGTGCGAGTTGGTAACGGCAAAAATCATAAAAGTTCTGTGGTCTACATGACACACCGATGGAGTTTGCTGTCCTGCCCTCTCTACCTTCCACCACAAAAAGCCAGTAAATCCATATGGCAACCTGTTTGTACATTGCGGTCACCAATCCATGCGCATATCTGCTTAGTTTACTCTCTGTTTACATCTGAATATATGTGGCACACGCGGCGTGATTGGTTCACAGGCTTAGGGCGCTCCATTAATCGGTGCTATATACGATCTGCTCTGAATTGTGGTTCAGAATTGTGGTCATTGAACGGGTCAGATGTGGCCATTAAGGAAAAAATATATACAGGACAGAACTGCCGAAGAGTGCGCACAGAAGCGCTGGGAGACACGCGTTTGGAATGACATTACAAGATGAAGATGAACACGTGGTTTTGAGGACATACGCAAGTTCGTGATAATCGTTCGAACTGTGAATAAAAAGTATGGGCTTGGGCGGGAGCCGTAACTCGAAGTGATGATGGTCAAACATTCTTTTCGAGAGGGGAGATGGAGCGATGGAATCAACTCGTGGAGGGATTCTAGGTGGGCCGTGAATTTAATTGCAGAATCGCGGCATTTGGCGACAGCTTAAGGGGAGGAGGACTTCGGGCAGCAGGGGATCGATCATGGCTGATGATGACGATTAAAGCATTTTACCCAAAACCCCCTCGCTCCCCCCGCCACCCACAAAGACAAAGACCCCCCGTATAGCCTTCGCAGGCTACTGGGGCAAGTGCTGTTAGTGAGCATACGAGGGGGGTGAGTAGCCAACGCCACGCCCGGCCGTCTTTGTCTCTCCAGTACGAATTGCTTACACACCACACCAGGTACTCATGTGAGGCTGAGTCGACCTCCGTGGAGGTCCAGGACCGGTTCAGATATTCGTCACCGATGTTGGTCGTGAGCGGGAATCGAACTGGGGTAGGTCGTGTTTAATTGTGCGGTGTGTTAACGTCCCCCCCCCCCCACCAAAAAAAACAAACAAAGGCAAAGATCTCCCGTATAGCCTTAAGAGCCTGTTGGGGCAAGTGCTGTTAGCGAGCACACGGCTCACTCGAGAGCAGGGAACCGCTCGAGCCCCACGCGTCGGAAATATTTAGTTTCATTCATCAATTTCGTTTTTTTTTACATTTCACCAGTTAAGGCCCACTGAGCTAAACAGCTGCTAATTTTTTTTATCTCCCAGAAGCGAGCTGGCAATCACAAATCCCAGCTGAACAAAGTGGCTTCTATCACGTGGAAATTTATAGCGGCCAAATAATCGACACGCACGCTGATTTTAAACGTGGAGGGGAAACCGCAGAAGAAACCACGCGACCACGGAGAGAGAGAGACACAGCAAACTCCAAATATACAGCAGAAGGCGTCCGGGTGGGGAATCGAACCCACGAACCTCCTGCATACCAGGCGAGGTAGTTAACATCTCGCCACCGCGGCGCTCAAGGAAGCCTGCAGCTCGCCAGCCAGACGCGACCCGCGACTTCATTTCACGCGATTGTGATCTATGCGAAGACACCACGGTCACACCGCGCTTAGAAACGACCCACCAACGATTTTCATCCGCGATTTCCAGCGTATTGGCCGTGCGGGACTCATAGGAAACTAACGGGGGGATTATTTTCCAACCCGGCAATGTACATCGCGGTTGTGTGTTTTTGTTTTTGTTGTTGTTGTTTTTGTGTTGCGCTCGATCGCCTCTAAAGGCGAGCCCCAATCATCTGCGTCGTTGTTACTGGATGAGGCTATAATGCGGCTCGTATCCATCCACGTGCGGTTTGACCGGCAAAGGATCGACCGTCCACGTTCAGCCCTCGGTATGACACAAAAAAAGCTCCCACCCCTCACAACCCTCCCACCCAGCTCTGGCTCTTAAACAGCACGAAGCATCGTCCCGTTCGTTAGCACTGGATGGGGTGGGAGGGGGGTGGTCAACGACACCAAGCCTGTCGCGACCCAAGCGGCAGCGCTTGCAGCTTCACGCGAGCTTGCCGCCCTGCTGCCCGGCGATGAGAGCGATTGGATGAGACTCGTCGGATGACGCACGGAGCCATCCGTGCGCCCTGTTATTACGAATAAAATGCATTGCAAAGTGCTGGTGCGTGTGAGCGGTGGGCGCGTACGCGCATGCGTTCATAGGCACTCGCTAACAGCACATGTCCCTACAGTATCTTCTTGGTTCTTTCGGTAAAGTGACTTTACCGAAAGAACCAAGAAGATGAATCCCTGCAGTCACGAAAGCTTTAAATCGAAATCCCTACAGTATGTTGAGGCTATACGGGGGATATTTATTTGTCTTTGTGTGCGCGCGCGTGTGTGGGCGCGCACACGCGCTACGAACCCGGCGATCCGAGTTCGAATCCCGCTCACGGCCAACACCGGTGATGATTATCTGAGCCGGTTCTGGGCCTCCCCGAGGTCGACTCAGCCTCAAATGAATACCTGGTTCGGTGCGTGAACACCGCCACTGGGGAGACTAAGGTGGCCGGGCGTGGTTCTGGCCACCCACCCCCTCTTGTGCCGTGCCTGAATTAATAAATGATCGCTATAACAGCACTTGTCCCAACCGTCTGGTAAAGGCTATTGCGTGTGAATGTAGGGTGGATCTGTAATATAGCGATGAGCTCCTCCACTTCGTTACGAACCCGGCGACCCGAGTTCGATTTCAGCACATAGCCTACCTCGGGGACGAATATCTGAATCGGTGCTGGGCCTACCGTAGGTCGACTTAGCCTTAAATGAGTACCTGTTGCGATGTGTAAACATCATCATTGGGGAGATAACGACGGCTGGGCGTGGTTCCTGCCACCCCATCCCATCATGTGCCGTGCCCCCGCCTTAATAGGTGCTCGCTAACAGCACTTGCCCCAACAATCGAGTACAGGTACACTATTCTATGCGCACGCCTGTATCAATAAGTATGCATGTGCACGTGGGTACGTTTATAATCGATGCGCGTGAACGCGTGCGCACGCGTGCACGTGCGAATTTGTGAACGCGCCTTGTGGACGCGCGTTGTGTGTACGTGAGACGCGTTCCGGCTTTTGCGCTCGAAAATCTGCACTTTGTCTACGATGGAGTTGCTCGTGTACGTCTGCACGCTTGTGTGCGCACACGTGTGCGTAACCGGCGAGCGTGTACGCACGTGTGCATCCGTACGCACGTATGCGCCACACGTGCGTTGTGACATCGACTCTCGGGCGAAGGCAATGCACGATCGGTGAATGCCTGAACAAGCAAACAGATTGAGTGAGCAGCAGACAAGGGAAGGGCAGCGGCGACATTCAATATGAGACACAGATGGAGGAGCATACACAGAGAAGATGAGACAGCGAGAGAGCCGGAGGAGAGAACAGGGAACAGAGAGAGAGAACAGGATACACAGACACAGAGAGAACAGGAGACACGGTGAGACAACGTACGAGAAAGAGGAGACATACAGCGACACGGACAGAACAACAGACAAGTTACAGAGTCACGGAGACAGAAAGAACAGGACATACAGCCCTCGAGAGCAAGAGACTGACAGAGAGAACAAGAGAGAGAGAGAGACAGAGAGAGAGAACGAGTGACAACCAGAAACAAAGCCACGCGCACCGACGGGGGGAGACAGACACAGAGACCGACACGAGACACCGACAGAGATCAACGGATCACACAGACGCACGCGCGCGCACACGCGGAGACGGCTACTCACACGAACGTGTGATAGGCAAACGCCCATCCGCGCGGTCGCTCCAACAGGTTGTAGAGGGAGTTCTGCAGACGGCGGTACCCGGCGTGCCTCCTGGACGCGCGCGCACCCGTCAGCGGCTTGCCGAGCAGAGTCACGCGTGCGTTCACCTCGGCAGAGCCGGGCAGGAGGCTGATGCCGTCTCGTAGGGTGCAAGCGGTGCCGCCGAGACCCCGGGGAGAAGGGCTCATGGGCGAGAGCCTTTCCCGAGAGCCGCCGCGTTCGGCGAGAGAAGCGGAGGCGGACAGCGCTCCGCCGCCGCCGCCGATGCCGCCGGCCGACGAGACGGCACTCGTTCGCCGGGAGTCGAGGAGCCCCTGCGGAACGCCCGTGCCGTTCATGGCCGCGTGCGCCGCGGTGAGTTGCAGGGTGGAGAGTCCCAGGAGCTCAACGGGGTCTTTGTCTCTGACCTTCATCGGAGCCGGCGGTGGCCGCGAGCCATCCGCGCGTCGCGTGGCGCGCCTCGGAGTCTTCTCGCTGGGCGCGCTCCGCTCATTCGGGGCGCGCCCGGCGCGAGGCCGAGACGTGAGAGTAACAGGTAACGTGCGTGTGTGTGTGTGTGTAATGCGTGTGTGTGTGTGCGTGTGTGTGCGTGCGTGCGTGTGTGCGTGTGTGTGTGTGCGTGTGTGTGTGTAATGCGTGTGATGTGTAGTTGGTGGAAATCACGCGTGGCTGGTATTATTAGAATTGAGTATTGCTACGACCGCTACTTAAAAGAAATCGATTAAAACGCGGACATTAAACGCAAATCAATCGGCGCAAAATAAAACGCAGGGTATAAAAAAAACAACAATGAATAAAATCGCGGCGCATTTCACTCCATCCTAGCAGCAGCAGCAGCAGCCTCCCATCGCTCTCGCTGCTTCCACGACGGGCGCAGGCTCATCCTGCTGCTGCTACTGCTGCAGCTGCAGCTGCTGCGTGGTGGAGCAGGCGGCAACGTGCACCACAGTTGGTGCCCTGTCCAGCTGCTCCGCTCCATTGGCTGTGGGGGTAAGGGGGGGTGTGTGTGGGGGTAAGGGGGGATGTGTGTGTGGTGGTAAGGGGGGGGGGGTGTGTGGGGGTGTCGCTCTCTCTCTCTCTCCGGAGCGCACCTCTCCTCTTCCTCCTCACCACCGCAAGCCACTCCGAGGAGCGAGCGATGTTGTCTCGCACTCGGCTCCAGACTCCACACACCACACTCCACACACCACAAACCACACTCCACACTTCACACACCATACTCCACACTCCACACACCATACTCCACACACACCACACTCCACACTCTACACACACCACACTCCACACATCACACTCCACACACACCACACTCCACACACCTCCACACTCCACACACCACACTCCACACTCTACACACACCACACTCCACACATCACACTCCACACACACCACACTCCACACACTCCACACTCCACACTCCACACATCACACTCCACACTCCACACACACCACACTCCCCACTCCACACTCCTCAACACTCCATACACCACACACCACACTCCACACACTCCACACTCCACACACGTACACACTCCACACTCCACACACCACACTCCACACTCTACACACACCACACTCCACACATCACACTCCACACTCCACACACACCACACTCCACACACCACACTCCACACACCACACTCCACACTCCTCAACACTCCATACACCACACACCACACTCCACACTCCACACACTCCACACTCCACACACCACACACACACCACACACACACGACACTCCACACTTACACACTCCACACTTACACACTCCACACACACACACACACCACCACCACACACCACACACCACACACCACACTCCACACTCCACACACCACACACACACACACACCACACACACCACACACACCACACACACCACACACACCACACACACCACACACACACCACACTCCACCCTCCACACACCACACACACACACCACGCCCCACACACACTCCACACCACATGCAGGTCATTTCCCTAAACCTGCTGCGTAGGTTCTTGCGGTTTGCGCTGGCGATGTGTATTCCCCCACCTCTCCCCCCCCCCCCCCCGGTCATATTGACGCGGTGTTCCTCTGCACGATGTCCGACGTTTCGCTGCACGTGATTTTAGTGCGTCTACAGGAACCATGAGAGAGCTTCCCAACACGTGGGAGCCATTTCATCAGCAACTGGCCGATGAAGATGTCACTCAGCACGTGGAGCGAAACGTCGGACATCATTCTCTTCTCCCTATAGTATCCGAGATGCGTCCGCTATTGTGTATATATATATTTTGTTTTCTTTACAGCGGATACGCGCGGCCAATTTGCGGATCATCCTCCGCCGATGTGAGGATCCGCAAAGTTCGTACCCCACATCGCCGCGAATGAAAAGAGTTCTGCTGTGATCACCGTGGGGAATGGACACGCGGTCGAATTTAAAACCAAGTCCTCAAGAAGTCCTCGAAACCCTCGAATCCCAGGGCCCATTGGGCTGGCCTCGATGAGCCAAGACTGCGTTTGGCACTTGCCCCAGGGAACATCTTCGTCTTTGCGTTGGACTGCACACGAGGGGATTGAACAAGTGATCAACAGAGGCCCCCACATGGCCGTAATTCGGCCAGGCATCTGGTTGCCTGGGGTCGGTGCATCACGCGTAGATTGAGCCGTAACTCGCCTGTATACGGCGGTACAGCAAGTAGGTTAGCTTTCGTTTTGTTTTGACGGGCCATCTGTGCGGCGGATTTTTCAGCCGTTCTCCTCTCATACTCGTGGGGGTTTTCTCCGGACACGAACGGGTTACACCACTCTGGATCTAGCCGAGCCGGGGATGTCAAGCCCAGTCGCGAGGTTCACGCGCGGACGCAATAACTGCGATTTCGCGGTAATCCGGTGTTCTGGGCCTCCCCAAAGTCGACTTAGCATGAAATGAATACATTGATGGGGTGTTTACAATATGAGCAGGGGAGAGACGAAAGCGGTTTTGTTGGGGTTGTGCGTCATACAGACCCCAGTCGGACTTAATAGGAGCTCGCTAACAGCACTCGCAGTCTGTGTAACACTCCGCAGTGGGGTGGGGGGTGCAAATGTAAATATTTACGTGCGATGTTAATTATTTAAAATATATATATACTTAAAGACAATAAAGTGGTTCTTCAAGTATAAATAAAATAACGCGCCTGTCAAGTGGCCTAGTTATAGCCCATTGCCATAATGGCTTTCCAGATTTGTCGTCCAAGAGAGAATTTGTTGGTGGAAATATTCGGATCGGCTTCGACTCCTCCGAGACCCATCAGTACGTTGCGTGGCCTGTTGAACAAACGTCGCTGAAGTCACGTAGAATGGAAATAATAAAATAATAAAAATAAAACATAATAAAATAATTATCAAGACGTTCGGCCACAACGCAAGCAGCCGTCCTCAAGTGGAGAACAGGTCTGTCGAAGAGACAGGTGGAGAACAGGTCTGTCGAGGAGACAGACCTGTTCTCCACCTGAGGACGGCTGCTTGCGTTATGGCCGAAACGTCGTGAGAATTATTTTATTATGTTTTATTTTTATTATTTTATTATTTCCATTCTACGTGACTTTACCGAAAGAACCAAGAAGATGAATCTCTGCAGTCACGAAAGCTTTAAATCGATTTTTAAACGTCGCTGAGTTGTCCGATGTTATAGGCAAGTACACTCCATCAACAACACGGGCACCATTCACTGCGGCACAGCGAACAGCGCATCACCTTGTGGGAAGATGTTGTCCCAGAACAACTTCTACTCATCAGCTCGCCACATTGAAGGACCCGGTCACACCACGGGCGGCTAAAATCCCAATACAAACCCAGGATCTCAACAATTCCGGCCCTGTGCTCTGATTCCCAGAACCACCGTATCACCTCGCACCAATAATTATCATTTACACTCCTTGTAAATCCACAGTGTCAGTCGTGTTGATTGTCTGACCATACTTCACCACGCTGGTCACTGCGTGTTGGCGACAAGGGTGGCACAGTCGGGTTTTTTTACAATCGGGTTTAATTGTCTTTTTATATTAAACCCGATCATCTGAGATTGGGAGAAATCCGGTTTAATTGGTTCTTATTGCAGAACCGCACTTCTCAACGATGGGCTTCGTCCATTCCAAGCTAAAGGAACTCACTGGCGCCCACGATTGTGGAGAAGCTCGTGTTCATCACGACCAACCTGCCCGCATTCTGCGACTACCCCGTGCCCGACGGCCCCGAGTACGATAGCAGCACCGACGAGGAAGCAGACTAAGCCTATCAGAGTTTCGTATTCATTAAACCAGGTTTTAATTCCCCGAAATCGGGTTTAATTGTATTAAAGAAAACCCCGATGCCTGCCGCTGGAAAAATCGGGGTTTTCCACCCATGGTTGGCGAGGAGTTAGGCGGCGAACATTCACTCGTTTCAAATGATCAATCCCCGCCGATGTTACATCCGTGGCCGTGCAGTGCGCTAACCACTGCGCCACCGCTCCACCCCACCGACCCCATGGGCATTATACGTTCGCGTTTTACAATCGCACAAGTTTTTGGGAATTGATTTATTCCGGCCAAATTGTAATTCTGCTTGTCTCGATGAGCGCTCACCTGGGCGACGACACAAAGCCTGTCAGCCAAATGGATTCATTCATATATGCTAATCCGGGATAAGTCCCCCTACAAAGAGGTTTTGGGGGGGGGGGGGTGTGAGCGAATAACAATGCCACCGAACATTCATGCGAATCACCATTTCCTGTTTGCGCGGACGAACGGTGTGCGTATTATGCCGTAATCTCGCGTTACAACCAAACCACCGACCGCCAACATTCCATCGGCATCCAATAATCCTTCACCCCCCAGCCCTCCCGCATTTACCGCGCCCATCGATTGTGTTGGGAGGAGGGAGGGGGGCACAAGTCGGATTAACGGAGCGCATCCGAATCAAACACCCCCCCCCCCCCAAGCACTCTGGGGCAAGACACGAGCCACCCCCCTGTCGGCCACTGTGGCCAAGCCCTCGGCGTCGGCTAATGGAGCGCGTGTCGTCCTTCACGACTCACGGACTCGTCCCCGCACGCAGTCTACGCCGCGATTTAATGAGGCGAACATTGAACGGGGTGGGGGGGTGGTGTGTGGAGGGGGGGGGGCACAGCCGTCTCTACTATCCCGTGTCCCCGCATCCCCTCCCTACCTCGCTCCACCTTGCACACACGACGCGCGGTTGATTGTTTGCTGTCGCCGTTGTGGGCAGGTAAAGGTGCTGCCCTGCAATTCGTTGCGCGCGCCGCTGCCTCCCCAACGTGTTGGACCCTCCCCTGCAACAAGTGGGGAGTTATACAATAATAATAAAAAAACATAACAAATTAATTCTCACGACGTTTCGGCCACAACGCAAGCAGCCGTCTTCAGGTGGAAAACAGGTCTGTCGAGAAAGCAGAGTCTGAAGACAGACCTGTTTTCCACCTGAAGACGGCTGCTTGCGTTGTGGCCGAAACGTCGTGAGAATTAATTTGTTATGTTTTATTTTTATTATTTTGTTACTTCCCTTCTACGTGATGACTTTACCGAAAGAACCAAGAAGATGAATCCCTGCAGTCACGAAAGAAGCTTTAAATCGAAATTTAAGTGGGGAGTTCTGGAGACCTCCCGCCAACCCCGCCACCCGAGGCAAAGGTACAGCCCTGCAAGTGGCGAGTTCGAGAGCCACCCTCTAGACCAGTGATTCTTCACTTTTGCTGCAGCCTTTGCAAAGTAGTTGTGCTTAATTTGTGTTTTGATGATTTACCTACAAAAAAAATCCTGGCCATGTCTCGCACCTCCAGGGGGTGCGCGCTCCCCATGTTAAGATCCACTGCTTCAAATAATATAAATTAATGTGGGGGGGGGGGGGTGCGATTTAAGACTCTTGTTCATTTCATTGTTTTAACCGCCAACTCGGCATATCCAAGCAGTGACCTCTGGGTTGCAAGTCCAGTGAGCTCATCATAACAGCACGACAGCAAAGCCGTGTAATTATATACAAATACATTTATATTGAATCGTGCACACGCCGGCTGCTTCTCGTTCATGAAATTAAGCGTTCCAACAGCAATGTTCCAAAAAAAAAACGCCGTTAATTGCATGCGCAATACCTACTGTGACGTATGGACATTGAAGGGGTGGTGGTGGGGGGGGGGAGATGTAACAAAAGTCTTGAGATATCCGCGATGCACGTCGTCAAGGTACACGAGACCTCCCCGAGCCATCGGTCCCGAGGTGTAACAATCCATCTAGAGGCACCTGAACCCGAGGCCATTCCGTCGCTCCATCTCCTCGGTGGGGCTGGTGGGGGGTCACATCCTCGCTTGCGCGTTCTCTCCTCTGACCGCCGGCCGGTCTTCTTTCTCGCGTCGTGTGCCGCTAACCCCACTTGCTTTGCGCTCATTCCCCCTGAGCCACGTGCTCCTCTTCCTGCACCCCCCCCACCTCCCTCCCTCCGTGCAATTCCAAGCGTGCGCTTCTCTGTCTCTCTCTCTCTCAGGCTTCTTTGTAAACTCGTCAGCTTTTGTTCCACGTCCTGTCAGCGCCCATGTTTCCGATCCACGTGTCCAGGCAGGTTATATGCGATGATTGAGAGAAAAACAAAACTTTTCTTCGACGAGTCATATTTGTGCGTTTCATTATCGGTTTGACATTTCCGAAGCTACTCAGTCCTGCTCGTGCACGCGTCTTAATGTCATCAGTTTGATCGCATTCCACTTATCATCCAGATACAACTGTTTTTTGCGTTTCGTTTGTTGTCTTTCCCCCGTACCTCCGATTAGCGCGATTGGCTACGCACGGTGCGAAAAAAGTTCAACACACACACATACTGCTTTGGATTTGTGTCCCCTATTTGGCACCATCTCCTTGTTTTATTCATTCTAGGTGACCCATGGTGTGCACTAACTCCAAAACACACGAGTACAAGAATGAGACAGAAAATAAATTACAAGAAAAACACAACGCAAGGATGACTGCAGATTTCACAACATGCAATGGAGCAATAAAACAGGTCTGGCGGGCATTCCGAGCGCGCATATTTTGTTAATCTTTCAGCTTTTGTTCAACACTACTTGTCATTGTACCGTGTGGAAGAGCTACATGTGGCATTCACAGGCGTCGCCGCCCACCTCGAGGCAACGTGACATACTTCACATCATTGTTTAAGGTCGACGACCATGAAGAAGTATTAACAAAATGAAAACATTCTTATTCAGGTACGTGGGTAATAAAATACATTTTTTTTAAATACCTACATGGGATTCTGCCAGTGCTGGAATGATCAGCACACTGGATTTGAAACCCAGAATGCCGCCGGTTCAATTCGATTTCCAGGCTCGGCAGTTGAAACGGTGCCAGTTTCTTAAATTGCTGCCACTGCCTCTGTCCACCCAGCAGGATAAATTCAGATGGAATAGTGCATAGCTCCAGTGGCTTCCTAATATCGGAAGAGCGTTCCAGACGGCCGCAGAAGCGCATCTGAAAACGCGCGATGCAGTGACCACCGTCTTGGTTCGATGGTTCGCTGCCTCTAGAACTACCTCGAGTGGAGGCCCTTCCACCAGCAGTGGCGTCAGCAAGAAATTGCAGGGCTGCGCTTTTACATTTGAAATACATACATTTTGTTGGCCTACGGTATATACATTGTACGTATGCAGACAGTGGCGGGCGATGACCTTCTCGTTCTATTTAGGCATTTGTTCTAATTCATGATTAAATTACACGAACGGGCAGCTAGGCTCACTCCGAGCGCGTCAAAAGGGTACGAGGCGAGGCCGGCACACACAGCACAAGACCTGCCCCGACCCAATGTTATTTATGTGCAACCACAACATTCATTGACGTGGCCTCATAATCCCACACCACGGGGCATTGGTGTCAGGGGTGATGATATTGAAAAATGAAGTAATTAAGCACTGCACTTTTAATATCCCATATCTCTGACCCCCCCACCCACCAACCCCTCATTTAATTATCTCCAGGTACTGGAATCCTGACCCTCAAAATGGTGTTACTGGAGCAAAGAAACACATTGAATTAAAAAAAAAACCTGGCAAATGCCCCATTATTTACAATCTGTAAATTTTACAGTTCTGCAAATCGAGCCGTGCATGGAAATCCTCCGAGAGCTGCGTGAATTATGTGAGGGAGGCGGGGGGGGGAGGTCGAACACTCACTGGGAGATAGGAAAGTGGAGGGGGGGGGCAGAACATGTTCAGTTATGAACTCGCCACTGATGCGAGCCGTAGCCGGGAATCGAACTCAGGTCTCACGTATTGCGTCACCGTTACACCCCCCCTTCCGCCCAAGCCCCAACCTCCACTGAATCCCGTTGTTGTTGTTGCTTCTATAAAGATGTCGAAAAAACTGCCCCCTCAAATGCGGAGAATTGATGGTGGGCTATAATTCGCGCCAGAAATATTTCATTCAATTAAAAAAAACCCTCACTGGCTCCGGGTGATGTGAGAAAATTGGAAAATATGAACGTAATTCACTTCTACAACGGGATATCAATTAGCCCAACCTCGCCGAAGCCACCGGTGTTGCAATTAGTGTTTAAAATAAGCCGTCTCGCAGCTAAACTCCTCGGCAGAAAATTGGGCGAAATTTGTGTTAACAAGCTTTGTTGGAGTGGGGCGATGCGGGACACATGCAAAACGTTACCGGAAAAAAATATATATAATGGCCCCGCTATGGTGGGGCATTTTCGGGGTCCGCAAATTTAGCGGGTAGATTGTAATGTTTTTTCTTTCATGTCACCCTCCACATTTAGAATCAAGATGCCATTAAAGAGTGTTGGGCTGCTACACACTTTCACGTGACGATAAGCCGCTTCGTTGAGCTGCCATTTGTGGCCAGGTCGCTTCTAAAAAAAATTGCTGTTTAGCTCAGTGAGCCTTGCCGGGTAAAATAACAAAAATAAAATTAATCTATAATACAGGTTTTTTGGGTTAGATCGCGGAAATGTCGTTAAATCCGCCACCACCTGACAGCGAATACCTACTATAATCACCCAGGAATGTCTGTCCTTAATGCTCGTGACGTCACCCCACATTGACCAGCCCCCCTCATTAATATTCATGAGCAGGTGACGTCCTCCAAATGGACCCCCCCCCCCCCCCCATTATTATTACCTACTATAATGAGCCAAGAATGTCTGTGTGCAACGCTCTTGACGTCACCCCACATTGATCAGCCCCCTCATTAATATTCATGAACAGGTTACGTCCTCCACATGGACACCCCCCCTCATTAATGAGCAAGTGATGGCCTCCAAATGGACATCCCCTCCCTTCATAATAATAGCAGCTGACGTCACTCCACATGGGGGCCGTGGCGGCTACCCCCCTATCCTCGGCGTCAACTGACAACCCTCACTACAAAGGCAGAACCCTCACGTCACGCGATTTCCGTGACGCTGTTGAGACATCAAAGTAAAAAGGACGTCACGATGAACAAGGGATTATAACCTTTAAATGAAATAAGTCTGTGTCACCGTGGCCTTTACAAATTGCACACGAATGGATGCAATGAATATGACGTCGCGGTCTGCTTTTCGCTTGCAAGTTTCAGATTTACTGCAATACACCCGTCCTTGGACAGGCAAAAGGCGAGTTAGGAAGGTTTGTCAACAGAACATGCCAATTCGTTACTAGTACAGCACACGGGTGTGTTTGAGAGCAAAGCCACAACATTTACAATCCGAGTACGACGTATTGCCAGTAGTTGCAACAGGTGGACAGCCAGGCTTGTGGATAAATCCTTCCGCTGTTCGCCTGATGAAGCTAGTTGTAATTACTGGCGAAACGTCGTACTCAGATAGTAAATGTTGTGGCTTTGCTCTCCAACACACCCGTGTGCTGTACGAGTAACGAATTGGCATGTTCTGTTTACGTGACAACCCTTACTAGTTGGCTGTGTCGGGTGGGTTTAACGACACATTTATATTTGTATACGCGATCTAACCGAAAAAAACTGTATTATGGATATTGGTCGCGAAAGCATGTGTTAAACCAAATTTAATATTTATTGAATAATTAACATTTATTTGGAAGGCGCCTTCCACAGTCTCAAGGATGTGAAAATTGCCCAAGGCTCATTAAAATAAAAAAAACAAGGACTTTTCACTTATTCAAGTAATCGTCTCATCAGTTTCACGATATCCTAGGTGGCCAGACCAAGAAACATCATTGTGATTGTTACAGGACTCGGAGAGAATGCGGAACAATCCCTTTGAGCGAACGAGGAAACGTGCAAACCCAGCAGCGATAGTAATAAAAGGCAGCATGATGTCTGTCTATGTACATGTTTATTTAGACGGGGGTTTTTGAGGGCAAATGGATCGTCAGTAATGGTTGCAATTGTCTTCCTCGGCGATTCGCCACGATTCTTGAACATTGCGGGTGCATTGTAAGTGTGTATGTTGAACTTATTTCGCAACCGTGCGTAGCTACCCACGCTCATTGGAGGTGCGGGGGTAAGGACAACGACAAACAGGGGAAAAAATTCAGTTCCTAACAAAACGAGTGTAGCGTCTCTCGTGGATGTAGGGGTAACGTGAACCTATTACATAACATCAGTCACGATCAAATTCACTGATGAAGGCCTCTGCAAGCGGCCGCAATCTCTCACCGTTCTGCGACCTAGCAACCCATACCTGTGCACGAGCCCTTTTCATCGCTCAGCATATCGATGGAACGCCATCGATTCCTGCACACGTGCTGCGACGCCATGTCGCTCCAGCTAAAAAAACGATATTAGTAGATTTTACCATTACTTTTTAGTAACTTTGCACATCCTTTAAACACGCGGGGGGTGTAAAAAAAACATGCAAAAAATAAAAACGGAGCTGCAACACGTGCATTTTTATATCTGGAGGGCGGAATTCAGAGGAAAGTTGCGAACTGTGAACATACCATATATATACGCAACGCGTACAATGCAGCGCGCGTAAAAAAACGAAAAAAATGCACCAAACGAACTTTAACAATGGGTGCGTCCGCAAAACGCGAAATGAAAGCAACGGCATTCAAAAGCGACAAGAAGAACGAGGACCGCGGGGGGCCGGTGCGGTTTTCCCACGGCACCAACCGAAACATCGGCGTGCAATTCGCAATGCTTTGGTCAGCCATGCCCTGCCAGGTCAGCTGGCGGGGGGCCGGGGGGCTCGGTGGTCGCCGCGAGCAGCGGGGTGGCCAGGGCGCGTCGCTGGCGCGTAAAAAATTTTGCAGCGCTGTTCACCTTGCAAGTTTATCGGTCCTCCAGGGAGGGGTTGGGGGGGGGGTTTCTTTAATAATGCCACAGCCTCTCGTGCAGCGTGCGAGAGAGACATCGCCAGCCGGCTCCTTCGCTCATCGCCAATAGATGCGTTTGTCCGCTGCGACACATAACGAAGAGGTAGAGCCCCTCCCGAAGAGGGGACATGCGCGTTAAATCTAAAACATAACGGTGACATACTGGGGGGGGAGATCGATGGATAATAAGTGTGGCCCTTGATCGAATAAACCACCATTGGAAGTGGCTTCCTCATATCACGTGAATAAAGGTGGCAAAGCAACGCAACCCTGGAGGGTAACGGCCTCCGCTTAATCAAACTCGCTGTCGGGTCCGGTGCAATTCGTGAAAATCACAGGGTGTGCATTTTAAAAGGCGATCTTCGCGTCCTTTGCAAGAAAAAATGACCACCCCCATCAGCCCCACCTCCCGAGGACTCGCCCCTGACAGCTTTAGGGGCGAACATTTCTTGACAGATGAGAAGGAAACGACACCGTGAACACACACCGCCATGGCATTCCGTGCATTTCATAACCCTCACCTGGCACCCGTGGGAACGGGGGGGGGGGGGGGGGGGGTGCAGCGTGACAAGGGGCTGTCAGGAGGTTTTTTTCAAATCGAATGTCTTCACTTGAGGCTCTCGCTTACAACTGTCTACACTTTCCGGGAGCACATTTTCACTGGCGGTTCGGTGTAGTTGCGGAAAAAGATAACTTAACAGAGCTCAAACAAAACTATTGATGTCTAAAGAAGGTACAGCGGGAGAAAGGTGTGCATTTCAAAATAAGTCAAAATTGTCACGGGGCACACCGTTTTCAAAACGTGTCTATGCAATTACACAGAGGTTAACATTCCTGGTAGAGTGACGAAAAAAAACACACACACAAGGACGCATAAAGAATGACCCAAGAGACTTGTATGTCAGCTGGTGCACGTTTGTTGTAAGCCATCATGTATATGGGGTCGGCCCAGAGCATTTGAAATATTTTGGCCACGGAAGTCGATATAATCCGAGCCTCCTATAGATATTCCGTTACATCAACTGCAGCGTCTTGCCTTTGTAGATAAAAAAAAAAATCTATATTTGACCCATAACTTGTACTGCAATTTTTTTGGTAAAAATTATCAAGGCAGAATAATGACATGTATGAACATACAAAAAAAATTGCCAGTGGCTGATTAATACCATGCCGAGCGTGCTTGCGTCTTCACTGTGTTATGTAGAGCTCTTTCAAAGTCTACTATCGGACACGTTACCAAATCTGGGCTAAAAGGCTTTTTTTGTTTGCACAAAGTCTGCGCACACTTTTCACATTTCTTGCGCGCTGGTTCAAAATGAAATTCGATGACGCCGTTTTTTTTTACGTGACGCAAGGACACTCAAACGCGTTCCAGTTTGCAAAAAAAAATGCTGCGAGGTGGCGGGCTGTCAAACAGTGACCAGGTAAAAACTTAACGACGGAGCAAGCTCTGCTCGTGTCTGCTCTTGTTTCTGGTCAGAGGGAGGAAATTAAGAAATGTAGAATGACCACGAGCAGTAACACGCACGCACACTAACACACACGCGCATGTACAAAGTTGTGGGAATGTTTTCAGTGTCCAATTTAAAAGTTAATGGGCCAGGAGGAGGTGGCTGGGTCACAGGTGCACAGTGGGAATTGCTCTCTTTAGTGGGTGCATCAAGAAAAGCCATCTCTAATTGCCTTGCTCCCACCTCCAACCCCAAAACCTCACGAGGAAAGCCGAACTACAACGGCTATGGCTAGGCTGGGTAATAAGCTATGGCAAATATCGTCTGTTGGATATAAACCACGGAGAGTATTCATTTAGGAGAATAACATTATCGATGTTTTGGGCAAACGCTCTTCTTCTTCGTGGTTAAAAAAAAGAAAAAAAATGTCCGCAGAAAAAAACATTTAGGCTCCAAGATGATCAATTAAAATGTTCAATAACATTTTTTTATAAATCGTTTTAATGCTAAAACCCTCGCCAATTACTTTATTAAAAATTTCCGTGAGCTGCGGCATTACTCTGTCATCTGACATAAGTGAATAGGTCTAACATACGGGCGGGCATGTCTTTCATATCTTTATTCTGAAGGCCTTCTGCCCACATCTGACATATATAGGAAGGATAACTGTCACGGCCGACATGACCCGCATTTCCCTGTAAAAGAAAAAGTGTCAGCCACTTTACAGCCCTTTCCTTCCACCCACAGTGGCAGCGGACACCACTACCAATCACTCTACCCACCTCTGGCGATGCACAACTGTCAGTACGCACCAAAGTCTTCACCCGGGGCGTCTTAATTAAGTTCCAGCTCTGATGGCACGACTGACGAAGATCAAAAACGTCGGCGAAATGATCCCTGCTCCAGCAGCGACGAACGTCACGAGGACCTGACCCAGCCCGGCACCCAAATTACTTCTCTTTCTCTGCAGCTGCGATCGATAAACACCAGTCATTCACGGAGCGCGTTATGCACACCTATTAGCTTTTGTTGAGAGGGGGGGGGGGGGAGCAGTGAAAGGGGTGGTGGCAGGGGAGGGGTGGGGAAATAAAGAACCGTGCTGCCTTGCCCCGTCTGCCACGTCGGGCAGCAGTCGTTTACAATGAGGAATGCATCGACCCCTCGCTTTCGTGTTTGTCTGTCGTGGCCGGAGCGGAGCTGGCCCGGTTTTCGGTAGCTGCGCAGATTGACAGCCGTGCGCCGCGCTGGCAACGTTGCCTCATGCGAGCGATAGCCGCGGTTATTTTTAGCCTCGCGCGTGACTTTAATTGCCTTCTAAAATAGCATGGGCCCCCTATAAACGCTGCGCCACACTATGCAAACCCCAGAAAGAATGGCTCAATTATACAGCTCCGAATGGCTAGCAGGAGGGTCTTGGAGACCCTAACAATCAACCATGCAGACTCTTATGTAGGCAATAAAAAATGAGATATACAGAACAGTATATTAGGCAGGATATTGGGAGGGTGGAAAATTACTTTTTTTTCATACAGATTGGCAGATAAACATAGGATTTGTGGCGTCGGTGATACCTAGCGTATTATTGAGCCTGGAGCCTGGCCTCACACTACAGCACAGAGATGGCCTGTGATAGCCACACAGACACTCATTCACCATTCGTTTAATGACGTCCCAGCAGGGCCCGGAACCTTTCGCAAAACCTGCGCGGCGTTCCGGCACCTGGTTCAAGGATCGCCACCCACAAAAAACACTCGAGGCTCCGAGTCCGCCAGGCGCGCAGGCCCCGGCACGAGTCGGCGGTGTGGCCGGGCCAGAGGAGGCCAGTGGCGGCGGTGCCACGTTAGAGCCCCGCGCGGGCGACCTCAGTCGGAGACGGAGGGCGAATTGAGGGACCGTCCGCTCGCCGGGCTGTTGAGGTGGAAGTACGACGATGAGGAGGCGTTGCGATCGCGGTCCTTGCTGTCGTGCTTGTGCTTGTGTTTATGCTTGTGCTTGTGTTTCTTTTTCTTCTTCTTGTGCTCGTGGTGGTGGTGGTGATGATGGTGGTGGCCCGACTGCAGCTGCAGCTGCTGCTGGACGTGTTGCGGTGACGGGGGCAGCACTTCCGAGGCGGCCAGCCAATGGGATGCGGCAGCAGGGAAGGGGGTAGCCGCCGGTTGAGATGATATCGGGAGTGCTGGAGTATCTGCTGCAGGAGTAGAAGACGCTTTCGTCGCATCTTTGCCTGGAAGATAGCGCACCAACACATTTGCATTTAAACAACAGGTGACACTGCAGTATATTCTCAGCCGCACGCTCTGGTGAGGTTAAATCACCTCATGTTTTATCGCGAGACAACGTCTAACGATAATATATAATATACTCCACGTGAAATTACTGCAAATAAAAAAATAACACCAGGCAGCTCACGAGCGGCCACGTGCAGCACTGCACCCAAATGCCAGCGGAGTTGGGAATATTGCCTGGCAAGCACAGCAAGGTTATTTTCTTTGCCGTACAAGTTTCTCAAGCCAGTACTCTTGTAGAGTTTAACCTTCTTACAGAGTTTGGCCAAACTGCTGTAATGCTCTATCACAAAGTACTGAACCGTTTGCTGTGGTTCACACCAGGTAGTTTCCACACCATATGTCCCATGCTGCTTTTTCATTTCGAGCAGGCAAATTATTATTATTGTTATTATTTTTCCCCATTGATCAGAGCCATCAATTTAGTTAGGGTGCAACCTATTGCGAAGTCATTCTCTTTTTCAATTAAGAGAGATTTTTATTAAGAAATGATGGTTATGATTAGACGTTTGTTGCATGCAATGGACTACATCTCTTCAGAACTCATAAGCAAGCAGAGTGGTGTAGCAGTAACAACCGTGCTTCACAGCGAGAAAGGCCTGGGTTCGATTCTCATCTCGGGCATGCCTTTGGGTGTGGAGTTTGTATATTCTCCCCCTGTTCTCCATGGGTTTTCTTAGGACGCTCCGACTTCCTTCCACACGTATGGACGCTCATGAATTGGCCACAAACATCTTCATATGTATATATACGATGAAAAAGAGGCTTCTAGCTCATCAGATTCCTCCAGTATAAACAAAGATCCTGATATGTCCTTAAACTCAGTGTGGCTTGCTGGGTAATTAAGTCGTAATTATAATTGTTATACACGAGTAATCGCATAGAGCCACACACTGCGTAACAATGCACAGGCATCCGCAGGCATGGCAACTTTCAGATTGTAAACACTACACACAGCATACATGATAAGGCATCCAAATTAAAAACACACGCGGAAAACCGTTTTTTTTCTCCGACATTAACACCCAAAAAGGGCCCATAACCGAAGTTCACCGTTTGTCAAGTTTATCAAGTTTCAAAGAGGGGGGGGGGGGGGGGTGGAAATCATTGCACGTGGCGGCCAGTAACTACAAAGTGTGGTTGCAATTAAAACAGAATCAAGTGCAATCGAATTGGAACGACAGCTGTTGGAACTGCGATCAAAATTCTCCGCAAGCAACAATAAAACCAACCCCCCCCCCCCCACGTGCGGTGCCCACGTGATGGGCAACCGTACTAATGTGCACAAAGTGCCCCCCCCCCCCACTCCTGCCAAGCGGACCCGGAAGGCCACTGGGCGAGAAAATCTGCGTGACGGCTTAACGACATATTTACGTTTTTACACGATCTAACCCAAAAAAAAAAAACCTTGATCTCGTGACTTAACTTCTCCACCAAGCAAGGAATCGAAGACAAAAAATAAAGGACACTCCGCACGGCTTAACGTCGGTAAAGGCGTTCGTTAGCGGGTGGACGTCGCACACGATTGGATGGTGATTACTGATCGGCTTCTGGGAGTAGTAACTTAATTAGCTTAATTCCTGTACGAGACGTTTGCCGGGGTGGCTCAGCAGTCGGCGCACCGAGCTGGAATCAGAATGTTTATTCAGACTGGAGGAATCCGATGAGCTATGAAGCTCTTTTTCACAAATGTCCAGCGAGCACCGTTGATACCTTTGGCTTTGAATCCGGGTTTCAGCCAGCTGTGAGTAAACCGAGTTTCTCAAACGTAGTAGGATGACGATCTCAGGCTGTTTACCAATGACTCGTGATATTTTACTTAAGTTGGAACAAACAAATTACAGCTCTGCCATGCGACGAACTGATGCACAGCAGGGCGCGTGGGAATGTCGAGCAAGGCGAGTGTGGATTGGAGGTCACCTGAAGGCCTCTCAGAAGTTGTTCTGTGATATCATCTTCTGCGGCTCAATTTTTTCTAACACGAGGTGTTTTCAAACGGACACTTCCACGTCTCGTGAAATGACGCCGATAGCACAACCGGTGTAACAATTTGAAACGGGCAAAAAAAAAAACGTTCTCGAACACAATGAAATCCAAGAGGGGGGGTGAAATGAACCTGGTGTGGCCGGGTAGTCCATTATGCCGAGCTGCTGGTTAATGAAGGCTTGGCTGTCATGCACAGTCTCCATGTCCACCTCCTCATCATCCTGAGAGTTTGAGAACTGCAAGAGCAGAACACACGACGGCGGCGGCGGCACATCGTGCAACGGCACACGAGTTACAAGCGTTACGCAATAAATGCATTAAATGGTACGGTGAAAGCACAACAAATCCATTGGCACAACAGAAACATAGTTCTCTTGGATGACTAACGACATTGCACTGTGTGCAACAAGGCTCATTTGAGAAAATGGGCCAGCAAGGCTTAGCTGTAGCACCGCTGACTGCCAGGTGTGGCTAACAGGGTGAATAAGGACAGGGCACGGAAGGCTATCAATCATGCCTTCCCCTTGCTTTAGCCAGATACAGACGGTGTCAATACACCAGTGACACGTGTCATTGTCTGCAATGCAGGGTTGAATTGGATGCTGCGCTGTATATGTATTTCCCCTAGGCTAGTCCGATTCACATCCGTACCATTAATGAAGGGCAAAATGAGATTGAGTCTCGTATGGAAAAGAGAGACTCCAGATAAATGCAAGCACATGGACACCGCTGCAGAATAACGGCACAGAACAAAATAAATCGTTAAAAATAAAGCAAAATAATTTGAAAAAGTATAAACTCAATTACGTAATGGATCCTGCAAATTATTACGTAAAAAGAAAGTAATGTGAAGAAAAGACATTTTTTGTCTATATGCTGACCATCTAAGACACGCGCAATTTTTGGTTTTAAACTAATCGTAAATGTGGAACAATAAAAAAGTAACCAAATAATTTTGCAACAGTTTTGCGCATTCAAAGAAAGTGTTTTGAGTTTTATCTGTTTTATTCCTGTGGGTTTCACAACCGCTGAATAACAGAATAATGAGTGCACACTCAAGTCTCCGGTCTGGGAGCCGACGATAAAGGTGCAGCCCTGCAATTTCGTGTTCACGTCACCGCTGGAAAGAGGGCCTCGCGACTCGTGACAACTCTAGAGAGTCCCTCGATAGCGTATTTGGCCTCCTTTTCAAAACTGCTCAAAACGTTTAATCCATTTTAACACCACCACACTCGACCCGCCTATCGACTGCGGTGTACCTATTTATTGCTGGGCAGACCAGAGGCAGAAGGTTGGGGGGCGGTATTTAAGAATCTCGCCCATTGATAGCATCAACTGCTGCGCTGGGAGATCGAATCGGCGACCTCTGGATTGCAAGGCCAGTGTGCTCATCATTACACCTGGGAAAGCACAATCAGGGCGACTGTAAACACAACAAGGGCTCTGCCGGTGCAGCAGGCTTTGCTCAGCCGCACCTTGATTTTGAGCTTCATTTTGCCGTCGTCGTCTCGATCGGCTCCGGAGTGCCCCGACCCTGCGTCAGGTCCCAGGCTGAGGGGTGACTCGGCTTTCCTCTTCACTCCCTGCGGCGGTGGGTTGACGGCCGCCACCTCCTTGCTTGCCGGACCTTCCTCCGGCTGATTTCAAAATAAAGTGAAACTGATGAGGAGTACGTTCGCGGTATTCATGCCATTCTTAATAGCGCAAGGCTATCGTCACAAAAGGCGCTGTTGCACAGACACAGTCTGCAATAGAACTCTAGAACCTTTGTTATGGACAGTCTGCAGTAGTTTCATAGGAGGGGGGGAGGACGATGATTGCCCCGTGTTCTCCCCAAACCGAGTAATTTTTGCGGATAATTTTTTTGAGTTTGGGAAAACGTTTGATCGCGACGCCGTGTGAATGCAGACGGTGGCGAATATCCATCCCGGTTCACACGCTTGAAGCATTCGCCGGGGCTGCCACTCGCCTCGAACCACTCTCACCCCTGCAACAAGCGGCAAACAAGCGACCGCTCTGCCATGATTTACAAGTGGGACGTGAGCAACATTTCTGCCAAATGAGTCCGGGGCGCCGGGGGCCACCAGGATAAGTCCTCCGGTGATTCTCTATAGATTTAAATGGACGGAGACGGGGGGAGGGGGTATAAATGGAATGGGGGGTAGGGGTGGGGGGGGGGGCAGCGGGCCTCGCCTAAAGGCTGAGCTCCCAGCTTTAAAATGCGGTGAATAATTACAATCGGCCGCGCTCTGCAGAAGCAATATAATCAAAAAATCCAGCCGCAAAAATTAAAGCAATCAATCAATGATTGGGAATCAAACAATGTCACATGGGAAGCAAGTTACGTGCCTCTATTCCCTTCACAGAATCGTGAGAAGCCTATTCGAGTTTATTCTTCAATGTCAATTTGTAAGTGAAATATTTAAGCTAATTTGTCGTGCTTTAATATTTAAATAAGCTAAATTTGTATTTCTGTAAAAACCTTGGTGGCAGATGGCACCCCGTTAATGGAAACACAATTAGAAGCCGTTTTGTCACCCAACAAAAAATCTAACGAAGAATATCTACGGAATGACTTGCTGCCATGCGAAATGTATGCCGCTTGAATTCCAGCCGTGGCGATTTAACACAGCTTCAGCCCAGGTCGCTCCACTCTCTTATTTCAATCCCAAAATCCACATTATCATCCTAACCCCTGGGTCACACAGACCGCCAACTTCCCAGGTGAGGCACTGACATGGCGACGCTGAAGGGAAAAGCAGCTCCCACTGACATCACTGTCATTCAAGCGCCAGGATTTAATGCAGTCAGCAATTTTTTTTCCGTCATGGTCTTAGTCTCGTCGACGACCAACTGTGGATATTTCAGTGATTCTCAGTCTATGAATTTCACTTCGTCATTGTCTCAGTCTAGTTGCAGATAGCAAACATTCAGTCAAACACTCTTAGTTGTTAAATGTGGTTTGGGAGTGGCGTGCAATCCCCCTCCCTCCACCCAATATTGTCAGGTCAACCTCAGTAAATATTTTTTACATACATATGTAGAGCCAATTTACCAAGTCTGGTCTTCCTCAGTTCACTGCACTCTCTAACAATATTACTAATCTTCATTAATGTCATCTCATCATAGCCGGCCAAAGCTCTGGTCTCCGTGGTCGGTGGCTGTGGCCATCGAGATACTCAATGCATTTCGTCCAACTGTAGTCATCGACAACTTAAGCAAATAACCTTCACACGAATCATCTCGCAAACACAGTGTTTGCACCGCTTAGGCTCCCTGCTGCCACTCGCGTTGGGGGCAAAAGGGGTCACACGCACAGCCAAAGCACGCAGGTGAAGCGGAAGGAGTAACGGAGGGGGTAACGGAGGGGGGGGGTTACGTGCCGTGCCGGTGGCGGCCACGGTCGCCCTTCCCGGCGTCGCGGCGCTGGACGGCATCTCGGCGGGCGGGGGAAGCGCCGTCGCCTCTGACTTGATGGTCGGGTTGAGCACCGCCTTCCGTTCCTTGAGGTTCACCACCAGGCCCAGCTCGGGCAGCGGCAGGCATGCCGGGCGGCTCAAGCCGAACAGCACGTGGTAGAGGTCGACAGCGTCACAACGCAAGCGGCAGTCCTGCGCCGTGTCTGCTCGCACACACGCAAGCACCTACGAACGTGCCACACGGTGCCACACGGCTCACTACAATTCACCGTTTGTCAAATGTGCTCGAGCGCTAAGGGACCGCCGTAGCCCAGGGGTAGTGGCACAAGCATGGTCTGGTGTGTTATGTTGAACTTCTTTCGCACCGTACGTAGCCAACCATGCTAATCGGGAGGTGCAGGGGAAGGTGCTTTTGGAGGCAAGAGTTGGTGGATCTGAGTAAGGGACACGCGGCAATTGTGCACCTTGGATTGGCACGGTCGGCTACGGACGGTGCAAAATAAGTTCAACATACATACAAAGACAAAGATCCCCCGTATAGCCTGAACGGAATGTTGGGGCAAGTGTTGTTAGCAAGCACCTATGAAGACCGGCACGGCACACGAGGTGATGGGTAGCCAGCACAACGCCCGGCCGCCTTTGTCTCCCCGGAAGCAATGTTTACACATCGCACCAGGTACACATTTGAGGCTGAGTAGATCGAGGAGAGGCCCATGGACCGGTTCATGATAATCGCCACTGGTGTTGGCCGTGAGCGGGAATCGAACTCGGGCCGCCGGGTCCGTAGCGCAGCGTGCTCACCACTACACTACAACTCCCCTGTAACATACATAACATAGACACATTCAAGTGCCGCGCAAGTGCACCAGCTCGCGCCAAACTCAGCTTTGTCAAATGTGCTCGAGCGTTATGAAAAGGCTTCAGCCGAGCGCGGAGGATCTCGCCAGTGTTCCGGCGCCTTGGAGCAAAGGGGAAAATGTGAATCACGCAGAGGCCATGAGTGCCCTACTGGGTTGCGAGGTAGCCGGGAGATAAGCAAGTGGGTTTGCGAACCCATCTCTATGCACCTTTGAGTGTGACCACTCCCCCCTCACCGCCTGTACAAATTGGTGTTCTCGCCATTTCCTCACACGTGCAAAAGACTGCAAAAGATCTAATTAGGCAAGCATAACAATGCAGGGCCCTCCTGCTAAAAGAATCTTGAAACACTACAAGGCTTTCCTGGAGGAAGAAAAAAAAATGACATGATGAGCTTCAATTACAACTTCAGTAATGAAAGCCTCAAAGTACAATTCTGTTGTGAAGAATTTTCATTATGAGCATTGGCTCATTTGAAGTGCACGTGTGTGTGTCAATGGCTGAATGCAGCACCTGAAAGGATTTGAATGCCGAGCAGCTGAATGCTGGATGAAAGACGTATGGAGGCTGTGTGTAATGAAAGGCGCTTCGAAGTGCATTTATTTTGTTTCTCGGAGAAAACGCACGATGTAATGTAACTGTACTATTTTCACCACATTAATAGATAATTACGCCGATGAACGAACATCGCTAGTCCTAGGATGGGTCACCGATTGTAAAACAGGTTGTTGTTGTTATAGACCATGCGGCTACAATCTGGGTAGCAGAGGCCAATACAAAACTAAACCAACATGGACTGACCAGCAGTACGATTAATTCAATCCCCACAACGCGCACAGCACGCGGAGACCTTCATCCAGCAGTGGATTGACAAAAGGAGCTGCAGGATATATATTTAAAAAAGGTTATTGCATATTTAGTAAGCAGTGGAAGATTGCAGACCCTAGTTAGCGTTGTTCACTTAAACACTTCACATTCGCTTACGTTACAAGAAAGTTAGATGTACAAACTGCAGCTGAAATCATTATCATTTTCACATGGGAAGCTCTCCATCGGATAATAAAAAAAAAACTTCTCGAGGTGGTCCGGTAGCCGAGAGGTCAGAGAGCTGAGCGGGCACCGCTGAGACGTTCCCTGGATTCGAACAGGCATCTCGGACGAAGCTCTGTGATATCCGCTTCCGGCGGTAGTTCTCAAACACAAATGGGTTGCACTGCTCTATGAGGAATTCTTCACCTCTGTCACGCGATGCCGAAAGCACAACCGCGATAAAATTGGGGCAAAAGACATGTTCTGTTGTTAGCAGTGTGAATGATTTGCTGCATACAACAAAAACCGATGGCTAGTTTCACGAAGGCACTTACACACGGTTGCATGTCCTACCTTCTGGCTAGCGGCGCATTGGAGCCAGGCATCTGATTATGTTTTAAACTGCACGAGCACGGACTTGGCAGTAAGCGTGCAGCTCTGCGTAAGCAGAAGCTTAATCGCGGTTCAATATTATTGTCCGTACAGCTTTCGCGCTTGCGGACGGGGTGAGAGGTTGCTCCTCACTAAAATATTTTTGAAGCTCTTGGTTCACTCGTTCTGTACCCTACACATTATCCGCTATTGCCAAACTCATCCCCTCACCATCTACCCAACCTTGGCCCGTACACTACCAGCTTCATCAATGCCTACGTCTCATCTGGAACCGTTCCCTTAGCTCTTAAATTTCTGCTGCTGCTGCTGGTAGTGTCACTCTTGTACTGAAAGAAAAAAAAACCACACTGGACTGTAAACACCTCTGCACATTTCCATTCAATCTCAAACCTCCCTCTGTTTGGAAAAGTTTTACAAAGGTTTATCTTCTCCCATCTCTCAAAGTACCTCTCACTCCAGGATCTGCACGAGACCGCGACCCAGTACAATCTGCTTCCCGCCAAGGCCATCCTACTGGGACTGCTCTCAACGTGTGGTAAATCACCTTCTTATCACTTCAGACCGTGGACCCCTCTCTCGCTCCTGGTGCTCCTTAGACCAGGGGGTGTCGACAACCAAAATAACAAGAGCAGCCATTAATTTCAGAATTCGGGGAAAAAAGAAAAAAAACTCAATATTTCGAGAGCCGCAATGCAATGTGAACGTCAAGAAGCAGCTCCGTAAAGAGCGGCATGGCGGTTCCGGAGCCGCAGGATGCTGACCCCTGTCCGAGACCTTTCTTGCTACTTGCCACCATAGACTCACGCAATTCTCCATGTGCGTCTCCAAACCTAAGTAGGCACCCCACGCACACTTCCCTCCCGGTTCCACTCCTGCCCATCAAACTGCTCTGTCTACGTTTATAAAAGTTGACTGTCTTCCGCTCAAACGCCCATGCGACGTGGTTTTCCCACAGGGCACCATCCTCACCCCCACCCCGCTTCCCTCTTCTCTTACCAATATATATATACCTGCCTCCCTGTTGGCAATATCACCTGCAGTTCTAACGTCCACCATTGCTTCTATGCTGATGAAACCCAGCTTCTGCATTGCCACTGACTCCGCTAACCCAACTTCGCCTGCCTCCTCTCACACCATGCCTTAACAATTCCTCATTTTGGATTGATTCTCCAGCGACACGCTGCAAAACCGAAGCACTCCCTCACTGGCATAGAGACCCGCTCTCAGAATAGACTCCAGTTTGAGCGCGCACCCCCGTAACTAACTCTAACATCGCACTGCCAAAGTGTCCAAAATCTTGGCGGTGTCACTGATCGTTTCTAGACAGCTGTGGATGCCAGCACCCCTAGTGGCTGCAGGCAGTGACGTGAACCGATTACATACAATACAGACGAATCTATAAGCTGTGATTCTTACACGCATAATTTGCTGCATGTATCAACATAAAGACTCATCGACATTCGTCATTGAAATGATGCTTGTTCCACCCTTATGGTTTGGCACACGATCAGGAAACACAATGTCCCAGTTGTTTCGTTTGGAATGTAACCATGTTGTATGAATAATAATACTGTCCTGCCATTTTATCAATCCAGCACCGGATGAAGGCTTGCACACACTTATCAGTCTTGGCGTTTTATTTTACCATACTTCACCACGCTGGTTCATATGGGATGGTGAAACGGGTGCCTGGCACCAGATCAGATATCACTCGCCACTGGTGTTGGTTCGGAATCAAACTCAGGTCACCAGGGTCAGAGCGCTGTGTACCAAGCACTGCACCACCGCTCTACCCCAAACATTTAATATTTAATATGTTTATCCATTCCACCAAGAGAGGTTCTCCGCATGCGACTGTTCATAACATCGAGTTCTACCGTGCTGTTCCTCGGCCGTAAGGAGAAAATAAAATATTCTCACAAAAGGAATTTAGATATGGGAATGAAGTGGATGAGAAAGATAAAATGTCAAATGTATTTTTCTTATTTTACATAAGATAAAAAAATATGTCTGGGCGACACATTTCATATATTTATTTTCAATAAATTAGGGCCATGTGCGATTAAATGTGGATGAGGACAGACCCTTACACTCCCCTCATCTGCCGTAAGTGGCATCGCTGGCCTTGTAAGCCGCCCAGAAATAAAATACACACGCTCACTCACCCGCAACTTTTGATTGGCCTCTCCGTTTGATGTTTGCCCTATGCTGTTGCAGCCGATCGAAAAAATTACCTCCTAATGGCCCACCCACATGTTGGGAACTCACTGAAGATGATGCCCTGCCAGATCTAAAAGCCGATGGCTTATGCTTTCTAAAACATGGCGATGCCCTTTGAACCTATTAGAGAAGTGCACGGTAAGGTCTTTTAATTGTGTGGAATGTGCGCTGGTGTGTGGGCTCAGATTCTCGCATGTAGGACATGGTGCCAGGAGCGGCAGGGATATTGTCGCCGTGGTTTTTCGCGGCTATAAATTAGGCGGGCTATCAAAGAAGAGGGCCATGACGCATGACCCTCACAGGAGGCAACCTTCTCTTCGGACGTCACTGTGTTTTGAAAGAGCGTTCAATAAGATTCACGATCCACTTTGTCAAAGCACCAAGGGCTCTAGATTTTCCTTGACATCAGCAGGCAAGTAACGGTGGGTGTCCGTTGGCACAGTACAGTTTTAAACAAGTGTTCAGCAATTAAATGTTATTTCTTGTAAAGAGGACTTGTTAACAAGCCTGGATATACTCGTAAGCTCTTTATTAATCTTTAGCTATATTTGGGAAATTGTGAGCAAGTGTTGCATGTGCACCCAAGGGGTGTACTACGGCAGAGACAACGATAGCCATGCCCATCTTTGGCGGCCCGTGAGACATTGGCCCTCGGTTGACATTCATGCCAAAAAAAATCATAAATAGGAATACGTCTGCTGTG